CGTTGGGGCGGGGCCCTCCTGAGGCCACGCCCCCGGGGCTGTGGGGCTGAGGGGGCCGGGGCAGGGTTGGGGGTCGTCCGCTCCATTCTCCGTGTGCAGCGCCTCGGGAATCGCTGGTTTCCAAGCGCTGCCTTTCCCGAGAGTGCCTGGATAAATCCTCTTGGGGATTGCGATGAGCACAGAAGGAAACCCCTGAGTCAGAACGGCCACCCGAGGTGTTGACAGCACCGCTTTGGCAGAGTGGAAAATCTCAAATGTAGGCGTCGCTGGGGCAGTGGCAGCAGCAGGGCTTTGGGGGAAGCCAGCCTGGCCAGGCCATGCGCAAGGGCTGAAAATACACTTAGAATTTTTTTCTAATTATTTTATTTTATTTTATTTTATTTTATGCATGGCATAGTCCTGTCAGATTGGTTCAATGTCTGTTGTATTTCCTGTATCCGGAAGGTTCCAAATAAAAGATGAGATTCCCTCGTAGTGGCATTATGAGCCACTGAAGGAACAAGCAGGTAGCATTAATCCCACAGTGAAACACTGTAATTAAGCCCTTCCTAGACTCTAATCGGTATATCTGGTAGAGGAGGGTGTTTCTGTTTGAAATCAGCCCCTATATGAGGAGTTCTGAATTCAGTGGAGAACACAGAATGGCAAAGGCATTTCTGTAACCAGATCTAAAATGAAATATTCATTCTTCATTATGTGCACTGTGTTAAACCTGACAGTTCTCAGTGTGAAAGCTCTTGCCGTGTTAAATAAAGAGGATGTAATGGACTGTGGGCATCTGACACTCATTTCCTATTACTTTACAGCTACTTCTGTTCAGTCTTGCATTGCATGCATGTGATTTTATGCAATGAAAGGCTCATTATAGCTTTAAGCTTTTTGAGGGAGGGCCTGGTTATCGCATATGGCATTCACTTCTCTGTGAATTGTCCTGCGTTGCCCTGGAATTATTTACATAATATGATCAGTTTTAAAACTGCTTTTGTCAGTGAAAGCTTTGACAAATACTAGAGGAGTTGCATGGCTCAGTGAATCACCATGAGGAGGGTGAACGGTACTGCAGAATCTTAATAGCGCATTAAAAGCCATTTAAAATTCAGATTCACAGTGTTTCCCAAGAAGGAGAGAGCACGGCTGTTTGCAGCTTTTAATGTGCAGTTTTTTTTCCCTGATGCTGTGAACTGTGTGTGTAATTTTTGAGCATAAATGCTCAGTGGTAAGCACAGAGGAGCATTTTTTAGCTGAAGAAAACACCACCTCAAAGCATCTCAGGTGTTGGAGAGTATTGCCAGTCCATCTTTATTAGTACACCACCCCTTGTTAAGCAGCTGGGGTTTTTTTTGCATGATCATGTATGGCTTCACTGTGCATCATTATATTAGTAACTTAAGGCCAAACAAACACCATTAACTCAAAAATAACCACCAGTACTGTAACTTTTATTTGCTAATAAATATCTTAATAAACAGGCTTACCCCATCTGTAAGACCTGATAATGCCTCTTAGGAAATCATAGAAAAATAAAATACAATAATAATCAATAACTTGTACTTTGTACAAAAATCTCATTATGTTGCTCAGCAGGTAGTTTTGCCAAACCCCATATTCTTTCTGCAAAGAGATGGCATATGTGATGCAATTCACCTTAAAAACACTCTAATGTTGAGAGCTGAGCATTCTATTACACTATTAACTTGTAGGCATGCCAGCACATGAAAATTTACATGAAACATCATAGTATCATAGGAATAGAATCATAATAATAAAGAAAAGAAGAGAACACCACTTTTCAGTAAATAATAACAACTTCACGTCTAATGTAAATTCCCCTTGGGACTGCAAATCAGTGGGGTAAGCATTTTATTCCATGGATATTCCTACAGTACAGGCGAAAAGAAAGCACAGTGGGACGTGTATGGGAGATGTATTGGTGAATAAAAGGAATTTTGGGGAGTGAGGCAGTCCCAGGGGGAAGCACCGACACTGGCTGTGCAATGTTCATCTCCCAGAAGGAGCAGCTCCAGAGGAGCTCAGACCATGGAGCTGGAGCCCAGAGCCTCTGGAAGTGCAGCACCAGGGCAGCTCTGCTGGGAGATGAGGGCTGAGGACTGAGCCACGGGCAGTTGTCATTATTCAAATATGTCTTGCTTAAAGAAGCAATGGCAAAACAAACCTTTAGCAGGGGTCTTTAAAGAAAAGGTGGGTTTCAGACTACTGGTAGGGATATGAGATCTGTGCTGAGGCCATGGTTTGATTTTGTAAAATAATTTGCAAGTATTATGACTATACCATTGCTTTTGAAGCCATCTACCTCTGAAGTTTTGACATGGCTGCTTAAATATATAATCTAAAGTGTCTGTCATCAAATATTTATTCATATATACACATACATTGATACATTTTATGGCTATGCTAGAACAGCAAACTATGAAGAGCAGTCATATTTAGTTTTGTACAATCTAATTTCACAGAAGAGACAGAGATTAAAACCCCTTTTAATTCAGATACATTTAAAACCAACACACAGAAATAGATAGAGGCTATCCTGAGAAAACATACCAACCAGGTTATCTTCCAAAAGTAAATCAAAGCTAATGTTTGGAAGGTAGCAAAATATTATTTTTGTATTTTTTTTTCTGAAAGTCCAAGTGGTTTGTTTTTCTTTAAAAAAGTGATGACAAAATGAAAACTGTTAATTGCAGCTAAATCAATGAACGTTGCTTTGCTAGAAAATCAACTATTGCCTTTCAGTAAACAGGGTTTCACATGATCTTTTAAAGATTTATTTTTTCTTGCTAAACTGCAGGCGCAGTCCTGAGAAGTGCAGAGAAGTTCCCGAAGCCAGGAGGATTTCCACCACCCCAGAGAAGAATGAGCCCTTTTTATGCCTCTGGGTTTGCAGTCAGTCACGGCAGCGCCGTGTGTGATGTAACTGATACCACCAGAGAATGTTGATGTTGGCCTCGACAGAAGCAGATGGAAGGCTCTGGGTAAGAGCAACAAACACTGAATCCTGTCACCAGAGTTAACAAAGGAACAACTTTTCCCACTTTTAGTGTGAAACAGACATCTCAGCCTTACTTAGAGGAGTTGGGAGAAGAAATTGCTGCAGAAGAAATGGTAGTAAAAAACTACACTGCCAATTCAAAGCTCACTTGGGGAGAGGCAGATAGGGAATCATGGCCATTAGGATGTAAAATGCTTACAGGTTTCCTTATTAGGAATCTTGGAGTGGATGGTTTTCTCCAGATAGGGAATTAGTAAAAGAATCCAGAAAATGGAACCACTAACAGGGCATTTGTTATTTTATTTGCTATTGTGCCATTCATTAACTGGGCAAATCTGAAAACTTAAGACTGCAGTGCACCAGGAGTATGAAGCAGCTTGTTCAAAGAGGCAAATCATCAGTCAGAACTTGTATTATGAAAGGGAGACCATATTGCATCCTGATTTATGTTTAGGAAAGAATAAAAACATAAAAGTCCCTTTTGTTTGGGAAGTTCTGTTTGTTTGATGGGGCTAGTGGTTTCATCCTGAATTTAAAACCAGAAGTCTGGGAAATTATATGGGGAGAAAAACCCCACAAAGCCAAACAGTTTCTGCTAGATACCCTATTAGATGTGTAGGTCATTTAGGTAACTAATTCCAAAGTCAGAGTTGACCATCCAAGCCAGAGAAAACAACAAACACTGCAGCACCCAACTTTTGTACCTTGCATTTTACTTTTTCCATGTTGAAAGTAACCACAGCTTACTTGATCACATCCCTGAGGTAGCAGCCTTTCTTTTAGGCTCAGTGCACTCTCTTCTCCCCATTAAATGAGGCCATCTGTTCCAGGAACATCTGTAGAAACCTTTGATTCAAAACCTGTTTCACTCACTTGACCTCTTTTTATGGACACAGCTGACTTTGGATCATGCCCTGAGGGACCAACCTACATCTCAACCTGAAATGCTTCAACAGAACAATTAAAACCAGCAAAAACTTTTAGCAATCTATTTGAACAACAAGACAGCTTATGTCCCAATAAATGCTGGTTCTCTAACAAGAAATTAACCATGACAGTAGTGGGGTGCAGAAAAGGAGAGTCTGTTTGCAGAGCTGGAGCCTCCCTACAGAAAATATGGACATTGGGCTTATCCCACTGCCATGGAAGTCAGTAACAAACTCTCGTGATTTTAGATCACAGCAACACTATTGCCTATTAACACAGGAACTTTTAATTCCTCACAGTCACATCACTCTCCCAGGAATTAATCGAGATGCTCATTAAAGTCATTCAGCAGGATTTGGAAATACAGGGTGTGGTAGAGCAGAACTTGCCCAGAACAAAAATGGAACTTCCCAAATTGACAATTAGTGACAAATAATCTATAGATTTGGAACACTGGCTGCACTTTGTCTTTTTCAGCTAATCCTATTTTACACCAAGAGACTGTGATGATAAGTTAGACAGCTCAGAGCACCCAGCTTCTAACAGGAGAAAATAATAATCCTATTATGCTTTTCATTTTTCCTATTAATAATTTTCAGTTAAAAAGCAAACTAAAACTCTGTTTCTAAACCAATATTAACTGAAAAGTTCTATGTTTTATTATTTATTTAGGTTCCTCTCAAGAAAGTCAGTATGTAGCTATAAGAACAATTAGTCTTTCAGAATTCTGTCTGCTAGACTTTCCAATATCAATTATGACAACTGTACCTAATTTTTTTGTCCTGGGCCAGAACCTGAAAGGTCAGAAAATAGATTTTTTTTCCTTCTTATCACTCAGAGCATTGTGTGGTGATGATACTTTGAAAATAGTCCCTAGACTGTTTCAGTGGGCACTTTTCCATCATCCACAACCAGAAAGGAATATTTGGGTTCCAAAGCAGATTTCTCCCAAACCTGATTTTCCAGATTCTAGATTCAAAGTTAGTTACTTTCTCTGGAGTCCCTTGACATCCCATAGTTCAGAATGCAGAGACCTGGATTTCTCTTTGATTTTTGGGTGGTGAGAAATGAAGAGGTGTTAGTATAATCAGGCAAAATATCTTATCTCATGGTGTCTCACAGATATTTTATAGGGATTTTGATTTTTTATTATACCTAACTCTAGTCTTCTATAAAGTCCCATGTCAAATCAGCCTTTTTATATGAATTAAGCTGCACAAACTAGAACCATTTACAGATTCAGGAGTTTCTGAGGTGGCACTGAGATGTGTGCAGAACTAGTCAAAGTTCTCAGATAGATACAGGTAAAAATTTTGGACAAGAACAAAGTAGAACAGATGTGAAAACTTTCAATTACTTTGAGACTGAACTTCTTAATTCTATTGTTCCCCCCATATCTTCACTGCCAGAACTTGCATTTTTTAAATTCCAGTTTAATTATTCAGGTATGAAAATATCAGATAATATGCTAAACCTTTCTGGAAGAGATAGGTACTTGGGAAATCTCTTGCAGGAAAGGAAAGTAAGATATACTCATGCAGGATATTTAAAGAAATATACATACAAATAGATCCCACTGAACTGGTGTTACCTTATTTCACATATAAAATAGGGAAATATACTTTAATCCATTTTTAACCTTAGGTTTTTCATCAACTGTTGTTGTTCTTTTTCCCTTCTAAAAGTCAGCTTATCTTTTTGTGCTATATGTTGGCTTATCCCTACTTACACGCCCTTGAAAATTTCCCTCATTTTAACCTCCTAGGTGTCCATAAATGGTCATGTAAAAGAAAATAATTTATATACTCTGCAAACATCTTTGGTGATTTCAGCAGAGGAACTGAAACTCTTTATAGCATGGACTCCATCTTGCATCTGCTGGCTCATGGGCACCTTGCTTCCCCTTGGGGATCACTAATTTCTACAGTAATTAGCTGAGTGGAAGAGAATCAGCAGGAAGGGGTTGGGTGAGGTGGCAGCAGAAGGATGAGCAGGCAGCTTTCTCTGAGCCAGTTTCAAAATGTTTTTTTCTACCAGTGGAGGAAAAGAGAGGCTGTCCATTTCCAGTTAACAAGCCAAGGAATTTTGGGAAGAACTATACACACACAGTGCATGCCATGAAAATTTTTAAAAGCAAATAAACCCCATTAGTGTTGTTGGTAATTAATTCTAGGTTTGAAAAATTTGATTTTATGATATCCATTCTATTTATAATTCTGTATGTACATAAAGACAAATATTTTATAACCACAACATGTTCACCATATCCTGGTCTACGATCTGAGGAATTATATACAACACTCATGGATGGGCAGTGTGCACTACTAAATATAGGATATGATGGTGGAAAATTTTGCCAGCTGTAAGTACTTGGCACTGTATTATGCAGCTTGAGTTTTTGTTAGAGCTCCTTGGCATAGTATGGACAGTCCTTCCCTTTTTTACCTTATGTAGGTTTAAGGGAGTTATTAATTTCTCTCCCCAGGAGATTTCAAGATCATTATTGTACTACAAGTTAGCCCAGCCCACCACATCTTTCCCTCATTCTCAAAAAATAATTATAGTGCTATTATAAAAAAGAAATTATCTTTGCTGTTTATTCAGGAAAGATTCATTACAATTGGTGAACAAGGGTATTCTGGAAGAAAACTGCTTAACAGAATACAGAGTTCTCAACCATGTGCAAATGCCACAAGTGTCTCTATTTTTAGTGCTTTTCCTGGAAGATGCAATGGAAGACAGACCTTTTATAATTATTTTAACTAAAGAAATGTTGGGCTGGATTAGAGGCAAGTCCTGCTTTTCACTCTCTGAAGGAATATTCCAAGACAGAGTGAGCCCATGACAGGGGAGTTACAGGAACCCTGTGTTCACAAGAGAATTCTGAGCTGCCAGAACGTGTCCCACAGAACCACTCCATCAGCTGAGGTAAAACAGTTCCATAACTGCTGCAGCTTACAACAGGGACAGCTGGAAATGAGGAACTGCTCTTCAATACAAGGTGAAAAATGTTCTGAGCTGCTTTGCCTTGGTGGCTGATGTGTCCCATGGGGTCATTCTGAGATGGAAATTGCTGTGGGTAACGCAGTCTCACTAGGCTCCTCCACAGTCCCTGCCATTCCTCATGGTAAATCTCAGCTGATTCTGCATAAAGGGGGTCTGTTTGTTACTTATGACCCATCTTTGAATCCTGTAGGAATCTGCATTGAAAAAGAAATTAATGAAGCCTTATGTTGGGTTTATATTAAAAATAGCAAATGGATAGTCAGTCTTAAGTGATGTAAAAATCAAAGTACTGCAGTCTATGAGTTCTGTATCAGAATAATCCAAGTAATATCTAATAACAGAATATTGGACACAATTTATTTGACTAATTTACTATCTAATTTATTTTATTGTTGAGTGCACTATTTGCAAGTAAAGGATTGCTTTATGCTGTCTGATGTCCTGAAGCATGGCATGTTTCTAAGCTTTTATTGGATAGACACTGGATTTAAGTTCACAGGAAACAAAAAGGGTAAATTTTGTTTGAGAAAAATTTAAATGATGTGGCTCAATTCTCTTCCTTTCGCCTCATAGCATCCCATTGTTTCTCAATAATTCCAATGTGCAAACACCTCATGAGCAAATTCTATTAAACATTCTGCTGTGCCTTGTTCAGTTTTGACACCATGAACATCGTGAACAAGACCCTCCTGTCTCACAGGTTCAGCAAAATGACTGGATACAATTAAGGCATGAAATGCATCTGACCAAGCACAGATACCTGAATGGATGAGCTGTCACTGAATGCAGAGAAACAGGTAAGAATTATTTCTTTACACACATCCATGTTATAACACCTTTTTTTTGGTTGCTTGCATATAGTTCACACTTTATTTTGTGAACTTTCAATGGGTACTTTTAGTCATGAAGCACTCTGTAATGTGGGCCAGATTCTCAAAACCAGCCTATTAAATTTGCTTTAATTTATCAAATTTAAACTCCAGCTGCACTCTGCAGTATGCAGGATAATTAGAGCTAATTTTCTCCTGAAGAAAGAATTTCCTGTAACAAAGGAAGTTACTCTAATTTCACATATACATTTGTGGACTGCACAGAATTAAGCTCACATTTGAAAAATAACACCTCTTAGGGTTGTTTTTTTGTTTTGTTTTTAAATTAAAAAAAGATTAAAAAATTGCTAAACTAAAGCAAGAATAGACTAGGAATCAGCACAAGAGCAAATAAAACATTTCCAAAATGGGGAAAATGTAAATTTCATCAAGATAACTATTAGAAAAGTGTCATACTGCACCACAACAGGAACAACAACAGAAAAAACCAAGCTGTATAAAGCCACAAAATCCTGGATTTACAACGTTATTAACAAATGTGCTCATTCAAAGAATCCCTTCTTCTTTCCTTTCTGGTCACCCAAACTCTTGTTTATATAAAAAATATATCTGATTAATAAATGTTTTACTTTTGTTATATTTTTTTTCTATTTAAAAAATATTTTCAGTAGTGCGATAAATTTAGAAATTATTTTTCATTAAATATATCCAGGTTGTGTGCATATAACTATGTCAATTCTGCATCTTCACTACCAGGAACGAAAAAAACTGTCAAAAGACAATGTAAAAGTGCACATACATTGTTTGGGTCAGCTATGAATGATTTTGAAACCCCATTAACAAATAACAGACTCCTACCTCCTCAGTAATGCATTTAATTGTGAGAAAGGCTCATTCCAGAGATGTCCTGTTGTTGGCCATGGAAGCAATGATAGGCAAAATGGATAATAAAATGATGAACTAAAATCCTCTTTTAAATTACTCTGTGGTATGTTGGTATTTTTCAAAAGGTTTCAGGTAAGTATGGTTTTCTTTCTGTAAGAGCACCTCTACTAAAAAATTATTCAAATGTGGAATTCAGGCAGAATTTTTTGAGTGACAGTCACAGAAAAGAACAAATGTTTTTTTTCCCCACTGAAGGGCTGTGATCCTGCAAAACTCACATCCTTGTGCTGGACTGATGACTTCAGTGGGAATACTCCTGCTGACAAAATTACCTTTGGAGCTACAATAGGATTGAGGCTGCCCTTCTTTAAACAAGCTCATCAAATTGGCATTGTAGAACACCAGTGGCTCCTGGTCTTCAGAAAACTCTTTCCTCAGTTACATCTGCCTTTTTTTTTGTAATGAAAGAAAGAAAAAATTACTTAGTGCATTCCTGCTATCTCACCTAAATTAATGCAATTATTTCAACATAAATTGACAACAGAAATCAGGCCTCGTGTCTTACTCTGTGATCTGGTTGGAAGCATAATTTTTTCTGAGTTGCTTTCTGATTTTCATTCTTTGTGACTGATATAAAATGGCAGCCTTTTCCAAGACTTAGGAAACACCTCGTGATTTACAAGCTGTAAATGAAGCAGTAAACACCATTATGATTACACAAATTAGTTAGTTCCTTTTGATATACACATAGATTATACTGATAGCCCAAATGCACAGTTTAACAGAAGAGCTGCAATGCTGGAGTACATTGGGATGCCACGGAACTCAAAGATACCCTCAAAGGACACAGGAATGAAGAGAAGCTTCTGCACAGGTTACATGTGACATGCAGTGCAGATCTGCGTGGGGTTCCACAGCACGGCCATGCGGTCCTGCCCCTGCTCCCAGGAGTGCATATCCCATGCAAGAGTTTGGAAATGTAGCCCAGCACGTCTGTGTCAGTTGTCTGAACAAAACATGGAAGCTGGAAGTCTTAGAGAGGTACAAATATTATGTTAGGCCTTCGCTGACGTTTCCTTGCATGTAAATATGGCTATTGAAGGGTTCTAAAGGTAATACCTCGGATGTCCTTTAGAGATCTGTACTAAATGAAGATCTGGCCTGGAATGACCAGAGCCCCATTTCAGCAGAGTTTGCTTTTTAACCTCTAAAAGCAGTTAGAAGTAGGCTCAAGGCAACATGTTACCACACTGCTGTCCTGCATCTCCTTTTCTGCCTTTGTGCAAGGTCACTGCATCCTGCAGCCTGGAACTTCCAGCAGCAGTGGGGCTGCACTGCTGCCTTGGCTGGAAGAGGATATGGCCAGCCTGCTCCCACGGGAATGATCCCATCATCCCACCCATGGCTGGCCCTCTGAGCTCTGCTGCTGCTGCTGGAGATGATTCCCTATCCAACAGCAGAGACCTGCATGTTTGAAACAGAAAGCTCTTCTGAAATCTGGGTGTCTGCAACAGAGCTGACAACCGTGTTTTACATGTGGTCAGTTTTCCAGTAGTAGAAGCAAATGCTGAGTATTACATAAAAAAAAAAAAAAAAAGGGTTGTAGGGTGGTGAGGAATCCCAAGGATAAACAAATTTTCCAACCTAATCTAAAATTTAAAGCATAAAAAGTGTCGAGTGCTAAAGTAATTGAAAATCAAGAACTTTCCTCAAGATTTCAAACAGATTACTCTCACTATGCTTCCAATTATTCACACAATGAAAACTTGCTACATAAAATCATCAGTCATTTCTGCAAACAATACTAATGTTTTGAGGCACCAGCTTACCAGCATTCAAACTATTAGAAAGTAATATAATGATAGGACACATACTTTTGGATTTAATTAAGAGATAAAATAAATATTTATGTTTAACTCCTTTTTGATTGCACATTTGGTGTTGGAAGTTACATGGTCACAGAACATGAAAGAAGTCAAATACTTTTTGATCTACCAGCAAATTCTAAATACATCGATAAAGAAGCCACACCAGGCCAAATAGATTACTACTTTCAAGTAAGTCCATGAAAGTTTCCCAAATACTGTTATACAAAGTTACACATCCATGCTGAGTTATTCATCAATGTGCAGCAAGAGTCTTGCAGTAGGCCAGGATTTTATTGGCAGAGAACTGGTGGAGGAGCTGTGCAGTGTGATTAAAAATTCCGGTTTGGAAGCATTAACATAGAAGTACTTGTATAGTCTGAACTGGAGACTGCAGTTCTTGAAGTTGGGAAGAGCAGGAGGGAAGAATGAGAATATTTTTCCATTTTAGAAATGCTGAGGCACAAAACACAGTTGCTTCTATTACTTTCATACATGAAATCCTTTCTCCTGTATGTGCATCATGTGTAACCGCAAAGTCTGTAAACTGCTGACTATTCGTCTCTGGTGTCCAATGAGTGCAACTCCAATTCTTCTAATGTCACTGCAAGATAAAAAGTTTCATCTTGGATGCAAATATAATAAAGCCTCTGGCGCACAAAAGAATATAATTATATGATGACTTCTTCTCCAGGACGGTTTACCTCCCTGGCCACGGCATATGAGAAAGCTGCAAATGTTCCAATTTTCTGCATCTGTCAATTACAACTTTTGAAAACAGTGATTTAAGAAAAAGAATATAATAAAAAGATGTATTTAGAGCACTGGTGTTTAGTGCTCTAAATTAGTGATACTGAGGCTTATTAGTGATACTCACTTAATCTTTCCAAATCTCAAGGACTAATCAGGTGAATTCTAATAGCCTATTTTTGTAATGGGTATTGCAGCAAATGTTTCCCACTCATACTGAAAAGGACTGGGGCTTATACACTCAGTATCACAGTTCTGAGGCAGAAATAACAGAGGTCCTGCTTCTGATGATTTGGGGAATGTGAATGAGGCAGTGAGAGATGATTTAAAGATCAAATTAGCAATGAATCTTCCAGACTGACCCTGATTTCCCTCCCAGTCCCCCTTCATCTCATCTAGCCCTGCACCCCAGAGTGGGTAGCTCTTGTCACCCCCAGGGCTCGACTCTTTGGCAGGAATGAAGTCAACAGCCACCACAGCTCAGCACAATCCACCAACTTAGTTTTTCTATAAACATCCCCAGCTGCAAGAGCTGAGAAAGATCACAGAGGCGCTGAGGACAGGAAACTTCAGATATGCCAGATTTCTCCATTATGAAAATCCCACACTGGGACATAGACAGATATTGCCTGTTTATCCTCAAAAACTGTTTGATGATACAACCAGTAAAGGAGCTCATGGGATAAGGCATAGCCTTCATGAGTTTCAGATGTGCACTTCCAGATATCTGCATCTGATCTCCAGATCTGTATGCTCCAGCTGAGGAACCACTGCAGAGCTTGCAACTATTATGTGCTTAGGCTCAACATTCTCATGGGGCATGATAGACAACACTTGAGGTCAGCAAAAATATTGAGCATCTGAGAAATTAAAAGGAGTCAGTGTAAAGAATAAAGCTTTACAGTCGAGAGTGGCTTTAGAAATGCAAGACCAATGCTTATTATCAAGGAAGGCCTGATAAAGCACAAAAAGAAGTCAGCAAGTCTTGAATAACACAAATTCTTTGAAGAGAGAGGGAATCTCTCAACAAGTTGAAATGGTATCTAAAGAAAGTAGAAAGGATGATAACCTTAGATTAGCTGGAGAAGCACAGTAAAGCAGACTAAAAATGAACTTGAGGAGCAAACAGAAAAAACAACCCCAACAATGAAATAGAAAAAATAAAACTTATAATAAATCTTTTTGCAAACTCACTGGGTACAAGAAACCTGCCATAAAATGTGTAGAGTCTAAAGATGATTTAGGCATTAAAGAACACTGAAAGAATGGCCATTGTTGGAAGACTTAACCATTTGAGTTGACATTCACTGTGGAAGAAATTGAAATGACTCCCATGCCAGATCCTTTCTGGGGGACTTGCCAAAGTATCTGTCTAAAGTGATTGCAGGAGAGGTTATAGGAAAAACTGTAAAAACAAGCAGCAACCCATGTCCAGACAAGATTATATTTAGGCAAAAGTTCCAAAAGAAAGTGAAGATGAAATAATGATAGTTGTGAGAGAGGGAGTTACCAGCTGTGCTCCACATGTTAAAAAATTTCTTGGTGCCTGAAGTATGGAGCATGGTGCCAGACAAAATGTTTCCAGGGAAGATCTGGGGCACCACAGACCCGTGAGTCTGTGATCATTACAGGGAGTAAGAGAAACTACAGCAAAGTACAAAATTACTGGATGCTTGGATAAATGAGCTACTTGAGTCACCATGGCTTTTGCAAATAAAAGTTCTGCTTTATAAAATTACTTGTTTCCAGTGGATGCAGATGATCCATTTGATACACCTCACTTGGATTTCCAAAAGCTTTAGAGAAGATTCCTCACAAAAGCTTTATAATGACAATGAGGAGCAACTTCTGTGTAATATAGGGTATAACATAATATGTAGCATAATGTGGTCTTTGCATGACTAAATAGCTGTTTAAATACAGGAGGTCAGCAGTAAATGGTCAGGTTTTACAAAGCAGTTATTTATATAAATCTGCAGGGACTTCTGCTGGGATAATGTTGAACATGATTGCTCAACAAATAGGTAAATGGTCTGGAAAACAGGTGAGCAAGAGGGGAACAATTCAGCTGGTGAAGCTGAATTGTTCAGGGCAGGAAGGAAGAGGGGCAGCTGTGCAGAGTTTTGGAAGGATCTCACAAGACTGAGTGACTATACCATAATGTGGTGGTAGATGGAATTCAATGTAGGTGAATATGAAATGATGCACGTGGGAGAAAATCAGTCCTAACTTTACATGTAAAATTCTTCAATCTGAACTGACAGCTACCATTAACACAGGCAGTCCCAGCATCAAATAAAAGATTGGGAATTCATGGGAAGGGAATAGAGAGCAAAACAGATCCCATCCTCATGCTACCATATGAATCCATAGTTAGCCCAAACACTTCTGTATTGAGTGCAGGGTTTGCATTAAAAAACCACAGGGTGATGTCAGAGATGGTCGGAACAATTTCATTATTAGGGCTGATAAAGTCTTGATGATATTAATAGCAACGTAAGAAAATATCTTTGCCACTGATTTCAGTGGTCTAGATCAAAACTGATTCCCCAAGAAACACACTCATCCCTGGCCTTTGGTTATGTTTGGTGTGGTCACAGAGTGGATCTATCAATTCTGGGTCTCCCCATCGTACATCTCTTGTGTTGTTTTGCTAAATAACTGTATTTGTCTTTTGTGAGCTGAGGAAGGAAAGGAAATGAAAGCACTGTTCCATACTCTACAATATTTGTGTGCCTGCAGCATTCAAATTCAAATTAATTAGTCACTGTAGGGATAATAGATTATATACTTACTCAATATTCATTCTTGAAACCATATCCAAAGTTGTGAAACCTGCTGCCATGAAGTTATTTTTATACTGACCCATTTTTATGGAATCCAGCCAGTCACTGACTGAAACAAACAAAGGATATTCTGGAACTTCACCAGGTGAATCTGGCATTCTGTAAACAAAACAAACAAAAAAAAGAGCAAAGGTTACCAAGCAATACAAAATATGACACCAAATTTACCCTGGTTGACATAGCTTTTACTAAAAGGCAGAAGGAATGAGAGAGGAGCCTGAGCTGTAAAGGTCAGACCTTAACTGAGCATCTCTTTAACCTCTTGTCTAAAACTTATAAATCACTTCAGTCTGCCAAGCTGCACTACTTAAACAATACATTTTATTAAAGAACTGCAGCTCAGTAACACACTGAGGAATATGCCTCTCCCACTGCACTTCTTTTTGTTCCCCAAAATGTTTCCCTGCAGATCAACATGTTCAGGATTATAATAATTTTTTGATACAGTATTCAATGTAGAGGACAATGAAAATTTAGCATGAGATGCAATTTAGGAAATTAAACCACCATGAGATGATTTTTACATTTACCTACAACCACCCCACCCCAGATGGCTCCTCATTGTGATACCATTATGCTACAGGAACATTTTGATTACAGTACTCAAAAGCTAAATCTCACCCTAAAAGAAGCCAAAAGAATAAAATGTCTTATCTTTGCTTTTACATAGAATTACATAAAGGAGCAAATACAATGGAAGGAGCTAATTTAGTCACATTTATTTTTGAGCTCTTTCCCCTAATATTTTCACAACTGAAACAGAAAGATGGAAAAAAAAAGATTGTAATTTTGGGGCACTGATTTCCAGTCTTCTGTTGTGTGCCACATTTGGAGGGCTCACAACTTCCACTTGCTTTATGCATTTTATGTAGAGAAATGGTATGAAAAAATGCAGAAAATGCACACTGCTGTTTGTAAAAGCTTTATGATAGTCTTTAGAAGAAAGACACAATTTGTTGTAAATGTTGCAAATGAAAATTTAGACAGCAAAAGCCAGCCTACATTTACTGATAGAACATGAATTAATGTAGGAAGCAACACAGTCTCATATCTTAATGAACCAAGTTTCACCCACACATATCAAATGCACTAAGTACAGTGATTTTCATTCATATTATCAGAATGAAAGAGGGAGAAGCTGAAGGACAGGAGAACACTGTTAAGTACAAACTGTAATTAAAGATCTACCATGGTCCCTTCCCATCTGAGTTACTCTATGATTCTACAGAAGGTTACCCAACAACGGCACCAAGCATTCTCAAATGAATGGGAAAAAGCTTTCAGAAGCAGGTGAAGTCAGTCATAGTTCAACAAAGCATAAGTATTTTAGACCCTAAGTTATGATTTAAATAAAAAGAGATAAAAATACATTACTCTGATGCTAAATAAAGTGATCCAGGTACAAATAGCAAGTCATACATATTTATATTTATATTCATACGCCCATAGAGGATGCTAACTCTAGGGCATGGATATTTAGTCCCACAAGTCTCCCTGGTCTGTGTTGATGAAATGGCTGCAGCCCTCTCTCCAGGTTTTCCTACCAACTTCTCCATTCAGCCTTTCCCACAGCAAGGTACCAGCCCCAATTCTGCCTTGTTGCTCAGCCCTTGTCAAAAACATTTAAAGGTTCTCAGCAAGCCCCACTCAGGGCTTGGGAACCCTTTCAAAGCCCAGGGGGTCTCCATGAAAGCACCTTTATCTTATCTTAAGGTGAATCTCAGGTGACTGAAGAGAGTGAGGCCACCTGGACCTTTGCTGATTTCAGCTGACATATGCAGGGACAGCTTGGATCAATAAGCCTACAAATACTGACAAATTCTTCTACCTCAGCCTTGCTTATCTTGTGTTTGCATTCATTTCTGAAACATTATTAATGAAAAAGAAAAAACCCTGGGCAACACTATCAAGAATTTGTTGTGGGATGGTAACAGCATAGTTGCTTATTTGGTCACTGCTGCCATTCTGCTGCAGAAAATAAAGATTTAGCAAGCTAAGACACAGCTACTTTCTGCAGGATATTACTCCAAGGCAGTTCACAAATTGCTTGAGCACTGTCAGATGGAGAGACAGGCTGCTGAATGGAGAAAAAAAATTACAAAGAGAAAACAAGCACATAGGCAAAACACACACACACACAAAAAGAACAAAGAGACTCACAAAGATTAAGGATAGATAATGCACAAACAGAACTCAGACAAAAAATCATAATAAAAAAGCCTAATATAATCTGCATGGCTTGAGAAAAGAACCTCCTTGTATTAACAAGGAGGCAAACCTTAAAGGGGGCTTAAAATTATTTGAACCTGCGAGACTTTATGAACTCAGAACTTTCTGGTTTTCCCACCCCTGCCTAATGCCTTAAGCCCATAATGATAGCCACCATGTGTTATGAAAAACCAGAATGTAACAAAAGGATCTTACACAAGGACATCCTCCACCAGGGTGTGAAGGGTGCTGGGGTTGCGGATCAGCTTGTCCAGGAAGGTGACAATGTCACTGAACTTGGGACGGAGGTTCCTCTCCTTCTGCCAGCAGTGAAGCATCAGCTGGTGAAGTGATGCTGGGCAGCCCATGGGAGCTGGGAGCCTGTAGCCCTCTTCAATGGACAGGATAACCTACAGAAACACAGAAATCTCTATGGTTACCAGGCATTAAATGCTGAAAGGACAGTGTGACACTGATAATTAGAAACCAGGGATGATAAATTATCCATGGCACAGCCACCCTCACTTTATGCATTGCTGGGGCTTCATTTGGAGAATCAAGACTGGCAGGGGAAATATTTTGTAGGAGACAGGAAATATTTTGTAGGCATGTGAAACACAGTAGGAACTTTTTAGGGTCACTGGTCATCCTCTTCAAACAGCTAAGAAAGCGGGAAGGGAGTAAAGAATTCACCAATATTATTTTTCACTTCAGGGGACCACACACTTACCTGGTACAGCCACTGCATCCCACCATGCTCTAATATTTGCATTTTGACACAGTGTTTGTGTGTAGCAACACCCCAATACAATCAAGCACCACAAATACACATCGTGGCACCTGACAATTTACGTGGTATTCACATGTTTCTGCTGATCCTTAGAGTGTGATTAATTCTGGCAATGTCCCCCACAGCAAGTTACAGCAATGTTATTTTGTGCAGTCTCCCTCAGAAACCTGGGTGTCTGAGATGTTTGTGACTGAACAAAAGTTAATAAAATGATAGTATTACCCTAAAGTGAGTGAGACCTTCAGGTTCACCAGATACAGAAAGTGTGTTTGGTAAAGATTCAGAAAGAAGCAGATCTGCTGCCACAGGTAAATCACATGTATGAAAATCATGTAAATTACATGTTGATCCAAGTCGAAGGAAAGTCATTTTCAGTAACACGGGTAGCAAAAAACATTGATTGAAAAGAAGAGTAGCAACCTGGCTTGATAGGAGTTAGCAAAACTAGCTAAGTTCCATGGAAAGCTTCAGGGATTCATAACAGCTTACATGGATTCATCCTATGTAAGGTTTAAAAAACACAAAGGAAGGTCAGGAGGTTCTGCAATGAGTGGTGGTAGCAGTGGGGATGATGTTACAAATTACACAGTCAGGATTCTTTTTGTATAAAAAGGAATGCAAACCTAGTCAGTGGCTGATCAAAAATGAAGCTAGCAAAAAGACCAGCCTTAGCACACATGCAAAACCCTCCCACACAAAAATCCAGCCAATGCTAAATGTTTGCTAATGTAGAAATGATTGCACAAAATATTTATAACCACACAGGGCACCTAGGAGGAACATACCTGCTGCACTGATACCCAATGGGCTGCAGGGAGACATCAATCATTTTCACACAGATGTATGCACATGCTGCAGACTCATTAATGCAGCTGGAAGGGGTTACATTAAACTGTTTACAGCAAATCAATGTTTTACAGCACCAGCTCTGCCTTCAATATATTCAATCTTATTATCCTGGAATATATCCCCGTTCTCTATTTGAATTCTGAATTAATGCTGGCTCTGCTCAGCAATGCCTAATGCTTATGCTGCAAGCATTATGTAAATAAAATAAGAGTGAGGAAGCCACGTTAGGACCTGAGCTCCCCTTGATGGCATGGCAGGGAATGGAAGGAGCCTTTTGTAGCTGCTCACAGCTGCTTGTCTGCTTTATAAACACAGGAGACCTGGTCCTGTAATGCACATGCTGCTGTTACAGGAAAAAATGCCACCATCCCATTGCCAGGGAAATATTTCCTTCAGAACCTTGTCTCCCAGTGATAAAAATGCCCCCACGGACTCAGGACGGGCAAAACTCAACCACGTGCATGGAATTTTATTCACATTTATTTTTCCATTTATTATTAATGTATCTCAATTTCTCAATATTCAGTTTGTCAGAAGTAGGTTCATAAAACACTCCTGACACAGAGGGGCAGGGCTTAGTTGGTGCTGGCCATCCTTAGCAGCCCAGAAATGCAGATTCTGAATTTTTTTACATTTAACTGTGCCTGTTGCAAATGTGGAATTTATGAAATGTATTTTGTTTTTAAGGCAACAGGAAAGCTGCTCGACTTTTCAGAGATATATAGCATTTGCTCAACACAACAATAGAGGGCTGATGAGGTTTTGCTGAAGTAATTTATTCAGGAAAAACCCAGAATCAACCATAAATTTCCAGATATATTTTCTCTGCCACACTTTATTTTAACGTATCTCTGAAAATGAAGTCACAGTGCATTTTGTTTCCCCTCTTGTTCAAAAGGAACATTTCAGTATGAAGAGAAATGCCAGCTGCTACTGGGATAATTACAATTTCTCATTAATACCAGCACATTTAAAAAATAAACTAGAAATATTGCCTCATTAGTATCCCTTGTGAGGCAAGTATTATTTTTAGATTCTAAGAAGCAAGAGTAAAGATGTGATAAGTGTCTAATATTGCAATGGGAATCAAGTCTCAAAGGAAAAATTAGAGCATTTTAGTTCCTTATTTATTTATATATTTATTTTAGCTCTTGCTCTGCCACATGCATAGCACCCATCTCTCTCTGTTCAGAGAAATCAGATATGCATGTACCTAAAAGGGAAGAAGTATTAAGTTTTTCTTTGTAAAAGACAATTGTATATTATAAAACATGTAAAGATTTTGCATGTTAACTCCCCTCATATGCCTTTTCCCCTTGTCAGAGTAAGGCTGACAATGCACCACATCAATCATGAAATCTGCATCTACAGGAAGGGCACAGCAACAGCTTGTTTGATGTCAGACATAGCTGTGAAGTTTGAATATTAACAGAGTTAATATTGCATATTGGTTATGATTGTCTGAGCAGTTTTTTATTCCTCTACTGTTTGAGCAATATTCTATTCTTCTGCTTCTACACAAAATTTATACATGTGCAATTTCAAATTAATTGGCAACTGGCGAAAATGCCATCTGAAAATGAAGCTGTAATCTTCCTGATAGTTTCATTATTAATAGTAACAGGGATTCTTGCTTCCAAAAGTTAACTGACAGCTTTTTTAATGAGACTGAGACAGAAGAGAGTCCAGAGGGACATTGTCCCTGTGTCCTCCTGACATCTGAAAAATCTACCAGGAGGGAGAGGCAGCTGCTGCTGCCTCATGGTGCAGAGCCAATCCCAGGCGCCTGCCAAGTGTTTTGATATCTCTCAGTTGAAAGAGCTATATTAGGATAAGTTGGTTTTTTTCAGTATTACAAGAAACTTTCAGGAGTGTAAGGAGTTTTATTCTGTTTGCTGCAGTAGTTTCCTTGCATACCAACTACAACCCATTAAAAATTCTTTTCATTTTTTGCCTTCTTTTTGAATACTGCAGCTCTGCACCATGCATTGATTTATACGGTGGCCTCTAACAGGTGTCCCAGTAGACTTCACTCACAGCTGTTCTACAAACCAAATGCATGGAATATAAATCTTCCTTCCCTCACATGAGCATTAGCAAGCCAGACTCTTAGCACAGTCTGTTCATCAGTACACTAGTTCCCTTGGAAAGTTCAATATCTTGGCTAATGTTTATTAATTAAGCAATAAGACACGACAGACTGTGCAGCAGCCCTAATTAATGGACACCTCTGGTGCCTGCCACACATCTAAGAAGTGCATTAATCAGCACCAACACAGTTTGGAAGTGACTTACCACAATAATAAAATGGTTATTTACTTAAACAAGAGCAATTCTCAAACTTAGCAACATTTTTAAGCCTCTGCATTATGCAGAGGCTTAAATTTATTATATGTACAGTATTAATTTTATGAGGAGCATTTTGCAACTCGGTTTCCTTAAGTTCAGCTTCCAAATCCTTGCTGGGGAATATAAATAGAGGATGTTGGATTTGCAGAGGTGTTGAGTCATTCTGGATACCTGTGAGCAGCTGTAGTCTTTGAACACCAGACTGGGTTTATTTAGGTGGCATGTACCAGTTCAACACTTCTCTCATCAGCTGTGATCATCACTTACTTAGCCATGGTCTAAAAAAAAGTGAGTGCATTTTCCAAAGCTGTATAATTTGAACAGCAATTGGTAAGATGGAATGAAAAAAAAAAACCCCAAACCAGACCCAGTTCTGCAGAGTTTATACTTGGAAAACTTTTGGTGATCTACCAAAATACACCCAATTCAAGAAATATTTTAATTGCTATCTAGACAAGGGCTTTATTATGATCAAAACCCAGTAAGTGTCTTAATGGTACTGTCAGCAGACATTCTGATGTAGCAGAACCTCTGACTGTACCCATGCAAGACTTCATTGACTGTTGTTTGCATCCTGTGTCTTTTATGAATCTGTTTAGTGCACATCCCTCTCTGTTGTTTTCTCTGCCATCTGTACAGTACCACTGACCTTTGAAAGTCCTATTATTTCTGCAAAATAAGCCCAAGTGAATTCAGGGCGTTTTACTGTACTAAAAGAACAGTCCAAATATCCAGTAAAATAAACTTTACATTATGTCTAATAACTTGAAATTTCCCCATGACACTTGAAGTGACTAAATGTACGTAGGAGGTCAGAGATGCTCACTGCTCACATTCTGGCACTGAAATCCTCTGGGTAGGAGAAAAGGAATTCTTTGTGTTTGGAATTGCTGAACTGCAGGGAAAACCCCTAGCAATTGGCATCAGCAGGGCCTGCAGCATTATTTTGTATTAACAGACACTTTTATTTTGGATGTAGGAGTAATTAAACAATGCTATTTTCATGCTGTAGCTGATTATATAATATATTCTAAATGGAGAGGTTTGTGATAGTATTTTTTTGTTTCTGACAGGTTTGGTTGCTTCTTTCCTTTTCTTCCTGAAATAGTGAAATTATTTTTTAAAATTAAAACCTCTCTCAGATCCTTATCCCCAAATGACCGATCAGCCTTAACAAGCAACCACACTTGAACAGCTGAATAACTTAGCAACAATGTAAAAACAGCCATCTGGGAATGTCTTGTCAATTCTTCAGAACCAATGCAGGAATATTCCAGGCACATATATGAGAGAGGTTAAGGTGGCTTGGCTGATATTCCACATTTTGACACAGAGCTTGATGGCTGGTGTGAAGACTGAGTGTACCAGTTTGAGCTGTCACAGGGATCCATCAAACAAGAGAGTTTGTGAGAACTTAAACTGTGGTAGAGAAAAAACCCCTACCATTTCCCCTTTCCCATATTTTTTTTTCTAGAACAAGCTTTCAATTATACTAGAGAAAATTTGTTCTTTTTTAAAATTGAGATTCTAGCCTAGAAAGAGAACGAGACAGCAAAGCAGGGCAGGGAGCGGCAATAACTTTTAAAGCACGTTTGAAAGAGATGCAGAGGCATTTTGGGCAGCACTCACATCCTGGTTGGACATCTCCCAGTAGGGCCTCTCTCCGTAGGACATCACCTCCCACATGACGATCCCGTAGCTCCAGGCGTCGCTGGCGGAGGAGAACTTGCGGTACGCGATGGCTTCGGGAGCCGTCCACCTGATGGGGATCTTCCCACCCTGCAGACAGGATGGAAACTTGTCAGGGGATCAGGATACAGAATAACACGTGTTTTAAAAGAAAAGGAAAAAAATACAACCCCTGGATTCTGATATTCTACGTTCTGACTTCCATCAGTTTGCTGTGTCAGTTTGCTGCAAGTGGAAAGGAAGAAGGATGCCTTTTTTATGGAATTTGAAAAAAAAATTATTTCATATGCAGTCTAATTCACCAATACCTGCACTTTGCGAAAACAATCCAGTTCAAAGAGCAGAAAGCATTTGAGATGATTAATGTTTGTTCAGTCATATAAATAACCAGAACGTGCATTTTGATTGAAAACATCCCAAGCCTTTAATTCCTAGTTCATTGACATTTAAGCTTTTTCCCTAAATGAAACAGAAGCATCTACTGCAAACCTGAGCACTGAAAGCTCTTAATAAAATTGTATAATCAGGAAAGAAACTATAGATATTCTATATGCCTTCAGAGCATTACATTTGATGACATATTTTACTTTTTGTTGTGCCCTCTAAATATCCAGGTAGAAAACAAACCAAATGTGCTTCTAAATAGGCATTTCCTTAGGATATTCAACAGTGCCATTGTGCAGCCTACAACTTAAAATCCAAGCTCTCCCACCAAAAAAAACAAAAAAAAAGAAAGAAATGAATAAACAACTTACCATTTACAAGACCACAGGATGCAGAGTTTTTCTCTGACATAAGTATTTTATATCACTGAATCCTTTCTATTTTCTCATAAATAGTTCCTGTGTGAAAACTACTTTTCCATCTCAGAAAAAAAAAAAAAAGGTATTTCCTTTCTTAGGTACATTGCTCACTTCAAAAGTGTATTTTTTTCAAGAGTGTACATTTATTATCATTCTCAGTGAACCCTTTGGAGAGAGAAAAGCAGTGTAGTGAAAGTGCCACTAGATGGTAGAAGGAGGCAGTCAGTAGACCTGAGCTCACTCAGCAGTAGTTGCTTTCAACAAGCAGTAATAGATTCTGCTCAGTGTTATAATTGTATTTCTGACTCAAACAAAAGAGGAAATGAACTAGAACATCCATTTGGCAATGAAGAGAGGCCACAGTTAAAAACAAGTATGTAAATCTCTGCTAATTTGCTTTGAATGTATGAAAAATTATCTGAGACCTGTTGAAGCCTGACTTTGGCTGTTGAGAAGCTGTTTGTTCTACCAATAAATGGTTCCAAATCCAGGCTCTGTGTCTGTGGGGCTGTGCCACTCAGCCACGCTCTCCTTGCTGATGGAAAATGCATGGTTAACATTTATATTGTATGAAAGAGACCAAGAGGCCCTTTGGACATTTTTACATCTTTTTGCAGCTGCTTTTTCAAAGCTTTTGCTTCCTCACATGTGGTAAATTACTCACTGATCTAAGCACTAATAAAGTATTTTTTGTATTTTTGCCCAAGTACCTCCACTATCTGCCTTTTATTTATCCATTATCCTGATGGTCAGATCACTCATCTGGCACATCAGAGATGCAAAAAGACTTTGTGCCTCACCTGCTGCCACCTGCCCTCAGCAGCACTGCCCTGTGTGATGCTCTTGGTCCCCTCCTGGTACAGCTGTTCCACTTCAGAAGCAATTAAAAATGCTTTTTGGGAATGTGAATGAAGAAACAGGGGGACAAAAGAGAGTTCTCGCAGGAAATTCTCCAAGGAAAGGCCAGGCTGATTTCTTGTCTCTTCTCCAGGAAGTATTTATTTATACTTTCTAAAGAAATTGGGTAAGAGCACTTAGTGTTTGATCTCCCAGTCTGGTTTCAGTGGTCTTTTCATGGAATATGCAAGGCTAGGCTCCCTGAGGTAGTGGAAAAATCAGCTATTCAATACCACAAATGTGCACCTTACACAAACCAAACGGATGCATCTGAGACACAGAGAGTTTTAGGGTCTAACTGTAAAAGACACTCCAAAAATATTTCATCACACCTCAGAGTTATGGGCCTAGTCCTTTCTACTGGATTGGGTTTAGTTCTTTACTTATAAACATTTTATCATCAAACTTATGTAATTCCATCCTCAGACAGATTGCTGTTTTGGAGAGTTTTATTAATATTTTTTAATTTTAATGAAATTCTTATGTTAATAATTAAATATCTAGTTGTAGGTAAAAGACAAAGTTATACATGTGAATCAAAGGCAGTTGGATATTTATAGAATTTACTTTTAATGTATATATTAACGTAGTATGGATAACATAACAGGAAAACTATCTTTACACTGTATCCTTTTCTTAAATTTGCTATTGTATTCTCAAATGATACTGAAAAGAGAGGGCACATCTCGAGCAGTGTTTGCAGCTAGATTTGTGACTCCTGGCTAAATAAAAATGAGTTTTAAAGAATCTTATCAGACTCTATAACTACTTTCATGACACAGCTTCACTGACTGATCCCTTTTGGACTGAAACAGTAGCGGCTCATTGAGTGTGAAAATGAGAATGAAGAACAGAATCTTAACAAAATTCAAGGCAGTTCACATTCAAGGGCATATGATGTGTTCAGAGTTGTAATGTAAAATAAAACACTCTTGTGCTGGCTCTAAAAACCTCTAAAGTTTTTGCAATGGATTCATCTCATGCATGAAATAGTTACATTCATGAAAATGTGAATTTCAATACTTAATTACAGTTGCAGAATATATTTTTATGCAAAAAAGCTGTTTTATTTATTTGAAAGGCATTCAAAAGGTGGAGATTGCAATATGAGTACCTTAAGGAACATGTATCACTGAACAGTAGTAATAGCTGCTCATGCATAATAAAAGAACACCTAAGGTTTAGAGTGGCTGAAAATATATTTCCTGTTTCTGATTAGAGTAATAAACAGTGTTACTGATATTGGATATGCCTTTTTATACTTTAATCTAACTGGGGAAATAATAAATGTAATACTGTTTGCACAACGCCTCACCTTCAAATTAAGATAATTGATAAATCATCTACATTTTGCTGCTATAGCAATGAGATCTCTCAGAGCTGTGTTAGAAAGCCCTTTTTGCTTTTGGGTTATTTTCTCTTTTTTTTATGTTTTGGGGGGAGGGGGTGGGGAGGAGGGGCAGAATGGGTGTTAGGAAACAAATTGTTTTTCTGCTTCATCTCATACATTAATAATGATATCAGCGATAACCTAATTTTGTTTTCACACAGTGAAATAACACTAACTCCACTGTTCAAATAATTAGAATTCAGCCTTTTTTTCCCTGTATGCTGCCAGCTGAACAGTGCCTATCTCCTGATTTTTTTTTGTGATTGTAATTTAATAAGCAATTTTACCACACAGCATAAGAGTCCCCTTGGAATTATAATATTAGGTTCACATTGCTTAGCTTGTAGAACTGTTCAGAGATGAGCCCTTGAAATGAAATTTACCCCCTCAGCCACACCTACTCACACACTGGCTTTCCCTGCACAACTGGCACCAGCAGAGTTTGCCACCCATTTAAAGGCAGGACTGCAACTCATTCTTTACCTCAGGCCATGCATGAGAGAGAGACAGCTCTTCACCAAGTGCCCTCTCTGAGCTCACACCACCAAAAAGTGCTTGTGATGTCCTGTGTGGCCACAGCTGCATTTTTGCTTTCTTCAGTTTGATTTTCTTTTCCTATTCTACACATTAGACATCTCTTTAAAAGCAGAAGGCATTAACAGTTCCTTTAATTAAAAATCTAACCATATTTCCAAACTCCAGCAGAACAATGTAGCTGGCAGCTACAGCCCATGATTCTACCAAAAAAAAAAAAGGTGGGGATGCATCAGCAAGCTCAAAATGTGTGATGTGAAGAAACAAAGGAGGAAACCTTTGTGATGTCAGAACTTCTGGCATGCCCTGGGAGCTGATTAAAGTGAGGAGTGGCAGCACTGAGAGCCTGAGGTGAAAAGCTGAAGGCAAGGTGTGTGTGAGCAGGCAGCAGCAAACCCAGTGAGTGCATCAGGCTCACTGTGCCCCAGAGGTGTGAGAAATGCCTGTTTCTGTGGAAAAGCCCCTTCTGTATTTCCCTGGAGTGACAGACACTTCAGAGGGACTGCCACAGCGCTGGCTGCAGGTGTCCCAAATGCTGAGGGGCAAACCCATCAGATCCAGATGCACAGACATCTAGAAGTGTCTGATTTTGGGAAAAGAGGCGCAGAACTGTGTGCACCATTAGTCTGATCTGGCACAGGAATTCCTGTGCATCTGTCAGCTACTGCTCCTTCATGTGCAGTGTCACTGAATGGTGCAGTCACTTTCCAAGACACCAGCAGAGTACCTGTCTTTACCTCAATGACAGAAACAGGGGGAAAAGAAGAGCTTCAGAGTGAAGAGAGAGATTAGCTTTAAATATTGGACATAATTCATCATTCTGTACAAAAACCTTCTGCCACTTCACTAGAGTGATACTTTTATTTGATGCTCAAATTTTTCATGTGCAATGCTACAAGGAGTCAGAATTTAACATCCTCAAATCGTAATTTAGAACTATTCACTACTATCAACAGTCTTCTGTTGTGCCTATTGAAAAGTGTCTATTGAAATACCAGAGGAACTACATGGCAAGATAACAAAACTGCTCTGCAAAAGCATTTCAGAATTTGAGCTCATTATGCCAATTCCAGTTGGTTCTACCAGTCTCATTTCACTCAGAACTGAAATGAATAAACCCCCCTGATTTTCAAAAAGAATGAATTTGCTTTTAATCTCTGAGAAAATATTAATTTTCTTTCAAATGTCCTGATTAACAATGCTGAAGTTAAATATGTGGAACTTGATTTCCCTCCTAAGTTAGCTATTCAAATTTTCAGAACAAGTTATTTATGGTTTTGAGAGCATGTTAATTTTAGTGGCTGTTAACCCCTACACTGCACATCTATTTGTGTCTTCCAAAAGAGGGAAAGCTTTTGATGGATGGAAGGAATCAGCACTGAAGAGACTGGCAGAATTACAGAAGACAAGATAGAATGCCTGTCCAGAGATCATCAGAAATACTTCACATTAACCAGCAGAGGTGA